CCCCCCCCCCCCCCAAGCCATCCTGAAAACAGTTGATAAGTTCCAATTCCTTACACTAAACGGAGGAACCCACTTCTTTTAGCCACAGGCCACAGCCCTACCCAATAGACTAGTTAAACCACTTACTCTTACTAGCCGTGCAGTTCCTTTCACTCAACTTTTGGCTGCTGCCTTCTGGTACCCGCCCCAAGAAGAACTTCTTCACTCACTTAACTCACTTCTCACTCTCTTCTTCTCTCCCTTTACATTGTTCCTGGCCCAAGTTTCTTTGCTTGCCCAAACCTCTCTCAAACCCGTTTGATTCGACATCAGTCCATCTTAACTCATCTTGCACTCGTTTCGTCAATTCTCTACGCCTGCTGATCGACGTCATCCTCCGCCGCCTTCCCCAGAGTATCGCCTCGCATCGAGAGGTTCAGCCACCATGGGTGTCCTGCTACGTCGAGATTGGTATGTAAACTCAACACACCATGGTATCGGCTACATTCACATCTTAAATGGATGTACGCCATGGATCCACAAGATTTTCTTAAAATTCCTAACAACTATCTAGCCGGGAGACATATAATGGCTATGTCTGCGATGGCAATAGCTGGTACGATTGGGGTCGATGGATCGCCTTCGCTGTCATTGTTGGAGTAGCTTTACTTGTCTTTTTCCTCTTCGCGTATGTTATCCCCTAGCCCCTTGCGCAAGAACAAGTCAGAAGACTAATTATTTTGGCAGTTGTTTCAATGCTCGCCGTCGGCGCAGACAAGGCCTTCGTCCTCATCCCGGCACCGCATGGCTCGCGGGGCCTCCGCCGACCTTTCAGCAATCGCAGCAACAGCAACAGCCTGGACAACCGTACTACGCAGACCCCTACTACCAGCCTGCCCCGCCGCCACAATACTCTCCTCATCCTCAGTATGGCTACTTCGGGGGCCAGCAGCAAACGGGCATTGAACTGCAACAGCCACAGAATGCCTACCACAATGGTGGCGAACGTGTATATCAACCCCCGCCGGGTCCTCCTCCGGCCTCCAAGGTCTAATCTCACCTGCCTTTGCTTTCCAACCAACGAAATGAAACACTATGTCTATTCTCAAGGAGTCTCTTGATCGGCCGTTGAAATAATCGTCCAGTCGGTTGGTTTCCGTCGCGCCACTGGAATATGTCGCCCTTCACCTCGCGACCAACTCGAGGAGAGGCTGTTACGAGCAAAATGTGTGACGGGACTCATGAGTATCTTTGTGTTGTATTCCCTATTCCCTACTCGTATTTTAATGACTTTGTCGGGGGTGTTGATCTATGGTTTCTTTTTTTTTTCTTTCTTTCTTTTTTCTTGTCACTATTGGGAGCCTGGTTTGCATGACGTTTCGATACCTTCCATTGCACCTATTATTTTTACTTGTGTCATACGGTCCTCCTGCTTCTTCGCCGTGGCATGTCTCCCACACCAATATCGCTTCATATTTAATGCATATAAATGAACCCCTGAGAGACCATGTGTTGCGCAGTGGATCTGGGATCAAATCAAGATAGCCCTGTCGATTTTGCCGATGCTGCCTATCTTGTCCATTTCTGGGAACTTATTTTGGTTTGGGAGTTCAAGGGGAGAGAGAACAAGAGAGCACCGCAGGCCATGCATGGGTTAGGCAGCCGAGTTCTGCCATTGCTCTGCCTTGGGGTCTCCCCCGCGCTTCACAATCATATTTCCTAGTTTCTGATTCGAAGTCTGAAGAAACTCGATCAGCTCAAGACAGGGTTATACTAGGTAATCTCCTTTTGTAGTTTTTATAAGGTACGTAGACTGTTAGTCAGTATGATGGTAATTTACCAAAGTACTTGAGTACATGATGCCACGGAGGTTCAGTGGGCCCTGCGACTGCCAATGAGGGGGTTTCACCTTCGTTTCGATCGACACTGGTGGAGTGCGACCGAGGAAGGGGGGAAACGACAGTTTCAAGTGCAAGTCAGTCGAGTTAGTTGACTTTACTTAGTCTACTAGATAGTGATAAGGGCGAGATGGGGCCGCAAATACGAGGTTTGTGGTGTTTGATCGGTTGATGGTTGATGGTTGTTCTCTCCGCACTCAATGGAACGCCGATCTCTGAACTGAACTGAAGTTCCTTCCTTTCTCTCTTTCGTTCCGCTTCATCCAACTCCTCTCCCTGCCTCCTCCTCCTCCCTTCTCTTCTTCTCCTTCGTTTTGGCTTCTAATCATCTTCCCCCCGGTCGCTTAGGGACTTCCTAGCGGCGCCTTTCGTTCTATCCGGCTCCCTACTTCCCAATCCTGGAAAGGAAACCAATGCCTTGCAGGTGCCTGAAAGTCTACATCTGATCGTTCCTTTCCCTCCTTCCCCCTAAAGGCAGTGAGTGCTCTTTGAGCGCACGCACAACACTCGAAACAAAGATCATTATCCATCCATCCAGTCTTTATTACACTGTCGCGTCAATCGGGCCATTGTGCGAATGCAGATTTTGCATATCCGGTGCCCTTTTGAAACACACCATTCGATTCCACCTTGCGCAAATCCGGCATCGCGCAAAGTCGCAAACCGAGTCACTCATTGCACCCAGACCGAAGGAGCGGATGGACACATGAACAACGCATACATTCATTCATACTCTTCGGCATTGTTGTTATTTCCGACCCCAATCACTCCGAAACGACGCCCACGATCGCTATCCGGGTCGATACCGCTCCTTTTGTTATCATCACGCTGCAAATTACATGATCGCATCCGACGTGTCAGGAACACGCTTACAAAACAGACTCTTTCACTTTGACCGTTCACATTCGTTTTACCCGGTCCTTGAACAAGAGTGGGGTGTTTTTGGATAGACTAGCGGCAAGGTTAGAGCACACGGACTGCCAGGGCCATAATAATGAGTCCGGTGGATACGGTCCCCGCCCCATTGTGGGCGCGAGATATAGTCAGCGATCTCAAGTCTGCCTCTTCTACCTTCTCGAGTTGGGATAGTTGCATGTCCAAGGCTTACTGCAAGTATGTTATATGAACACAGTACAATACTTCCAGAAACTGACCAGAGTTCTTAGGTGGCCTGTCATTGCTGCTATCATCGTCGGCGGGCTGATTGTTCTGTCCGTCGTTGCGTGTATTGTCAACTGTCTATGCTGCGGTATTCAATGCTGCAAAGGATGTTGCGGATGTTGTTCAATGTGCTGCCCGTCGCCTCGAAACAGGCAACGCAAGGCTAAGCACTTGGACGATCCGTACCCACCCCCAGCTATGCCGGGGGCTATGCCAGGGACTATGCCGCCTCCGATGCCAGTAAAGTCTCCATATCAAGCTCCGCAGCCGCCGCCCGTGTATCGGGGAACGGAAGTCGCTCGCTTTGATGCCCCGACGAGCCCTGCAGGGTCGAAGTTCAACGAGGATGCGTTGCCTGCCATGCCCAGCTGGGATAATGCTGTGACTAAGAGGGTGGAAGATACAGGCCCCCATGTGGAGGCAGTCGAGTTGGAGTCTATGAATCATGTCAGTCGCGAGCCTCGTCGGATGCCTTCTGCGCCTAGAATGAATGGGGGAGGGGTGGGTGGTGGAGGCTACATGGGCCCTCCGCCAGTTAGAGCTGGTACTCCTGGTCAATATCCCATTCGGACCGGCACGCCTGGTCAATATCCTGCTAGAACCGGCACGCCCGGGCAATACCCAGAGAGGACGGGTACTCCTGGTCATCACCTTGACAGAACAGACATTCCTGGCCACTACCCCGGGCCTCAAGACTACAATGCGCAAACCCCGCATGGCTACGATGCTCAGAACACATACGGGTACAACCACAATGGCCCCAGATCGCCTCCTCCCATTTCTCCATACGATGAGCAGCCTTATAATCATGTCTTTCCCCATGAAGAACGGTATCATACGATGTCACCGGCTCCAACCTACACCACGCAGCCCGCTTATGCACCAGCGGAGCATTCGCAGCCTTATTATATGCCATCGGAAACCCCACTCCCTCCATATATGCCAATGGACCGAACACGATCTCCGGCTCCCGCCCTCTCATCGGCCATGAATGCCCCTCGGCCCGTACCGTACCGCCAACCTTCCCCGGCGATCAGTCAATACATACCTTACCAGGGAGTCTCCCCGGTCACACCTCCCTCACCACCGTCTTTCGCTGCCGCGCCGACTCCTCACGAAGCTAGTGACCCGGGCAGGCCCCCGAGTCTCCTGCAGAGCGGACGGAGGCCGGTGCCCAACTCTTACCGGGACGTTTAAAGCTTCGTTATGACCACGGATTGATACCCGCCTGTGTTTTGAAATTCATTTCAAGAATTCCCGATGACCCTAAATGTCGAAGCCATTATGACGCAAATCAACATGACCTGAACAGATTTAGGTAGAACGCCTGACACAAGGATAGGAGCTACCATGATATCTGAAAACCTCTAGACAAGCCCATTCCCCCACGCAAGCAGTCAAGGCCGAGTTTCACGCTGAAAAGTGACTCAGCCCTGCGCTGCGTATCTGCTTCTTGCATCCCTCTTTGGCTATCAGAGGGCCCTTGCTCTTTCTTGTCATCGGAATGCCACACTATAAGCCCCCTCTCATTTCGCCCGTGCATGACCTTGTATATACCTTCCCTTGTATCATACTTGGTCCGATGTGGCCCGCCCGGACAGAATCCTGCATGATGTATGTTTAATATCTATGATTGTCAGTTTGATGAAGTGGGATGGCTACTGCCGTACCATCCTGTGTCCTGCCTTAATATTTGATGTTCTATGGTTCGGCGAGTTAGGAGTCCAAAGCCACAGACACACCTGGGCCCATGCTATCTCTTGGATGTCTCGTCCTCACTACGGTATCTCGTAATACATGCCAAGGTAACCATTCCCACATCTGGCTAGCCACCGAGTAAATGTCATCCAACTACAGAGTACCGCCAACCTAAATCCCCTATGATACACACGGCATAGTCGAATAACATGCGGAGACAAACTCCATCCGCAAAATAAGTTGACTGGGTATTGGGATGTGAATCCCCGTAAAAATACACTTCTATTTTGCGCGTGGACTCAAAAAAATAGAAAGGCCCTTCAGCTTTTTACTTCCCAATTCCTTAGACCTCTGCCTCGCTTTTGGTCTATAAGGTGAAATCAAACTCCTTGAACGCCTCCTTGAAGGCCACCGCATCGGCCTCCTCCTGCTCCTGCGACTGGACATCCTTGCGCCAGTCGATTCGCTTCTCCAACTCCATCAACTTGGCCATGACCCGGCGGCCGAATTGGAGATCGAACCGGAACTCCAGGCCGAGGGGGAGGAGGATCGTTTTGTCGGTGCCGGTGGTTGTGGTTGTGGTTGTTTTTCCGTGGGGTTCAAGGTTTTCTGCTGGGTTGTCGTTGTTGTTGTTTTGTTTGTCTGAGTCAGCAGGAGAGGGACTCCAGATCCAGACCCGGAAGAAGTCGCCGGGCTCGCTGCTGGGGTCCGCGGTGGCGGTGGGGGCTTCGAAGCGCGGGTATTTGAGGTTCTCGGCCTCGACCTTGAAGGCGGCCTCGACGAGGCCCCGCTGGATGAGGGCCGCCGGCACGGGCAGGAACTGCCAGTGCACGTGGATGCCGTTCCCGCGGCTGACCTCCCAGGTGACGGCGCCGAGGGTGCCGGCGGCGCGGCGCTGGAGCATGGCGTGCAGCGCGGTGCGGTAGCGGGTCATCTCGGCGTAGGTGGCACGGCGGGAGGAGTCGTCGGTGATGGCGGGCAGGGTCGGGGTGTGCGTGAAGGGGATGATGAGCATGTGGCCGGGGAAATTGAGGTCGTGCTGCGCGAAGGTGCGGGCAGTGGGGAGTGGGCCCTTGGCGGTGGTCAGGTAGCTCTCTTCGCCGATGGAGGTGATGAGGTGGGTGGCGATGTTGGGGTTGGAGAGGCAGAAGAAGCATTGGTCCGGGCCGGGGGGTGGCAGGCCGCCGTGGTTGCGGGCCCGTTTGCGGGGCCGGTGCTCGTGCTGCTGGTTGTGGCTCTGGTCGAAGCGTTGGAAGCTGTCGTGTTGGCTGTCGAGGGGCTTGCGTTTGAGGTGGGCGGGTGCGGGGAAGGGGGAGGCGGTTGCGCCGGCGGGGACGGTGAGCGGCGCGGCGGCTTTCGGGTCCAGCGTGAAGGCGTACATCCATTTCTGTTTGCTGGCCTTGCGGTAGGAGGCCAGGCTGATGAAGCGGGTCAGTGGCTTGGTGTCCGGGTTGTCGTCCTCGGAGGTGGGGAGGTGGAAGAAGGGTTCGCGCTCGAAGAAGAAGTCCGGCGTCGAGGTAAGGTGGTAGCGCGGTTTGAGCGTCGCGCAGAGGTCGGAGATACATTGGACTTCGTCCGGGGGCGCCGTCGTCGCGGCTTCTTCGGGGAAGGGTGCCGTGGAGCCCGTGCGGATTCCCTTGGGCCATTGGTTGGTGATGAGGATGTCGGCGGAGTGCGCGCCGTGGAGGGTGCGGGCGTCGGATTCGGTGTAGCTGGGTTGGTACTTGTTGGAGGAGGCCTGGTTGTCTGTCAAAAACTTGCCCCCAAGTGTGACGATGCGGATGCCCTCGGCGGTCTTCAGGGTGCCGCGGCGGCCCAGGAAGTACAGGTTAGGGCAGACTTCATCGTTGGCCTCGATCGCCTCGATCACTCGCGTGGGAAGTGGCCGGCTGCCCAGGGAGAAGTATGTTGGAAGGGGTACGGCGATGCTGCCTGAGAGCAGGGCCGAGATCTGCTCCAACTCATGCTCCGTCGAGCAGTCGCCGAAAAGGTCTCCGACGATGATGGCGAAGGAGAAATTCTGCTTGACATGTAGCTTCGCAAGTTTGGTGAAGACGTCTTGGAGCTCACAGTTGACACCTCCGATGACGACTCTGGGAGCTGTTAGTGACTAAGTGACAGGACTGTGGCTGGCGCACTCACATCTTGGAAGCCATGTTGCGATTTGATACTATGATGCAAGAATCGAGGCTGGCGCAATTGGAGTCGCACTGGACTCAGTCAGGGTTCTATGGACTCCAGCCTTTTGTGATCTGTGATTTGCGCAATGAGAGTCGGAGAAGTAATGTGGTGGTGCTGTTCAATTGTTACTCCAATCCCGCAATGAATGCAATCGACTATTGTAGATTGAATTGAATTAAATGATTGGAATGAAGCCTGGAGCTGAGACTGGGCTGGATCGCCAAAAATGGAGCGGCAAGAAGCTTGGGCCCACTGCGGCCCACGTGATAGGCCTTGCCAGTTGTTAACCCCGGCGCTAAAAGAGACAATCTCCGCACCCGGAACAAGGTTGCTGCGGCACCGATGAATTTTTTTGTCTATACGGCAAAGAGGGGCGGTGATGGAACCAGTCCCCCATTAATTTGATATTGTTAACTTCATATACACAGCGGCGCTGCTTATTTCAGTCACCATCATACGTCAGGATGGTAGCAGCGTCGTCTTCTTCGCGGTCAAAGCCCGTGAAGCGGGTCAAGGGAGGCACAGAGACAACAAAGTCGCATCGATTCGAACCGTTTTCGCAGCGCGTCGCAAAGCTCAAGATCGATCCCATCCATCGCGTGCGCCGCCCCAGCTTCGGTGAAGAAGGCGACGAAACCTCCTCCTACTTCCGTTCGGCCTTCGATCACTGGGTCGAGTTGAACCTGTCCGAGAATTTCGTACAATTCGCCCGTCGAGTCAACCCGCTGTGCGAGAGTCTGGCCCAGATCCTGTACCATGAGGACAAGATTATGAACCTGCTGGTGGAGTTCATCGAGAAGAGGGATCAGTTGTCGATAGAGCCACTCTTGGCTCTTCTTGCCCAATTTGCACGAGATCTGGGAGTACGCTTCGAGAAGCACTTCGCCACGGCCGTTACCCTCGTCGCATCCGTTGCAGCCACCCACACTGACGTCGAAGTTGTCGAATGGAGCTTCAGCTGCTTGGCATGGATCTTCAAGTTCCTTTCGCGACTTTTGGTCCCAGACCTCCGGCAGCTGTTGGGCATCATGACTCCCTATCTCGGCAAGGAACGACAAAAGACACATGTTGCCCGATTCGCCGCCGAGTCCATGTCCTTCCTTATCCGCAAGGCGGGTCTGGTCTATTACAAGAATCCCACTCCCCTTCAACGTGCGGTCTCGTTCCTACTGGAGGATCTGCGTCAAGCAGCCGGTGACGACAAGAATGTCGATATCTACAAGGACGGACTTATGGCCATGTTCTCCGACGCCATCAAGGGTGTCAAGAATGGCATTCACTCTAACGGAACTGATATCCTGACTTGCATTCTGGAACATATCTGCACCGGTGATGATCTACAAAGCAGTCTGGCGCTAGACGTCACTTGCGGATTGCTTATCAACATAATGCACAATACGACGGCCGAGACCTATGAACCCATCCTGGATACCGTCCGCTCTTACATCGAATCATCCTGCTCCAAGACCGACAAGCAACATGCGAACGCATGCTGTCGCCTGATATTTCAGTGTATCGCCACTCGTAAGGGTTCTCGAGTCAAGGTCTGGAAGCCTGTTCATAATATCCTCCTTCGTCTGCTCAAGAAGGCTGCAGAAGCGCCGGAGGCGTACGCTGAGGCTGCCCCGCAGCTTCTGACTGCTGTCGCATATGCACTTCAAGTCTCCCCAATGGACGAGATGTTGCCATACATGCGTTCACTCATGGATGCTGTGACCAACGACAAACTTTCATCCTTCTTCCTGCCGTTTTGTGCCACCTTCTCGGAGTGGGGTCCCGAGAGATTTCATAGCGTCGTCCTGCCTTATTTCCAGAAATTCGTCAACACATTGTGGCAGGAGCACGAGCACGAGCTCTGCCTGGCCTTGTTGCGACTGAACCAGGCTGGCTGCATTACATCAGAAGCCTCGAAGCCTGGTTACATTACCTGCCCTGCAACGTGGAAATCCCGTGTCAAGGAAACACTAAGCAAGCCCACACACAATGCTACCGAACTGAGCCTTGTCAACGCATATTCTAAGCTCCCGAATGCGATGTCTTTGTCAACGGAACCGACTTTGTTGCCTGATATGGTACAAACCTTGCACGGTCATCTGCTTCGCACCTTGAAGAAGAACAAGAAGAATGTGGATACGTCTGCGACAACCAAATTCTACTTGGGCCAAGGCTTCAAGGCATATGTGGAACTTGCCTTGCAGTCCGAGAAACTCGACCGCTCTCTCTGGAAGCAGATCAGCGCAGTAGCCGCAACGTACTCTCGTCTTCCTGTGTTCCTTGAAGCGACGCTGGCCTATCTCTCGGCTCTGAACGGAGACATCGACCTCGATGACTCCGCTGTCGAAGACTTTGCGGATGTGCTCATTACAAATCTCAACGGCCCGTCCCAGAAACTCAGGTTATTGTCTTTGAAGATCCTTAGAGAACTGGTTCAAGCGTTGGGCGACGATGCTGAGATGGTCTCTCTGGCCATTGAGATTGAAGAGAGTCAGTTGACGCTTCATAGCCATAGAGTTTTGGCAATGCAAGTGCGTAAACTTGCTCTAGCTTATCCACAGGCGGTCCCCCGCAGGTGGATGGCTAGGTTGATTCCCAACTTCTGTTTTGGACTCTTTTCCAAGAAGATGACTCCGTTGTGGGACGATTCTGCGGAGGCCTTGAAATCAATGAGCGAGAATTCCGAGGGCGAGAAGATCATTTCGGATCTTGCCATGAAGTGGCTCCTCGAACGGGGCTCTTTGGACACGAGCGCGGATGAGCAAGAGGAAGAAACCCCTGACTACCGGTCTGGGTATTTCCAGTGCTTTAACGCGGCCAGGATTGAAGATATATCCGCTAAATACTTCCAAGGCCCTGAGCAACCCGATTCAATGCTAGAGGACGAGTACAGCAAGGATCATACCTTTACGGATGCACTACCAGCTTCTCCCCGAACCCATGCTCTTCGTGTTCTGAACGCCATACCCAACATCGCAGAGAAACGATTCCGCCAAATCGCGCCCTTGTTTCTCCAGTGGGCTTCGCATGATGACGACGAGAGTCCCTCGGACGAAGACTTCATCCCCTGGGGTTTCCTCGATCGTCTGGCATTCCTCAGGCTTCTTGGCCAATTCGTCAACCCTCGTGTTCTATACAGGGCTCCCGAGATCCATGATGCTATTTTGGGATTGCTTTGCCATGGTAACTCTGACATTCAAAAATGTGCACTCAAAGCTCTTTTTACTTGGAAGTCACCAAGTATAGTCCCCTACCAAGAGAATCTTATGAATATCATGGATGAAAACCGCTTTAGGGATGAGCTTTCTGTGTTCGTTCGCGTTGGTGGTGAAGATAGCTTGATCGAGGAAGCACACCGGCCTGAGCTCGTTCCTGTTCTCCTCCGTGTATTGTATGGTCGTATGATCTCGAAGGCCGGCGCGACTTCTAGCCAGGCAGGGCAAACGGGGCGGAGAAAGGCCATTTTGAGAACCTTGTCACAGCTACCTGATAAGGAATTCGAGGTCTTCATGCAAGTCTCCTTCGGTCCTCTTAGCGATGTCAGTCTTGTCCGCGATGGTCAAATTGAGCAGCAAGCTTTCGAGCAATCTCTGGCTAGTCCGAGGAAGCAAATGGGTCTACTGAAGATGATTGAAACTGTCTTCGAAACACTTCAAAACCGAATGGTCCCCTATGCGGAGAGATCTATGAACGTGGTGCTTTATTGTCTTGTGCGAGCATGCCGGGGGCTTGAGAAGGCGCAGACGGCGTCGGCTGCAGGCCCGCAAGAAGAACGGCAGCTGACAGTGCTGCGTAATATTCGCTACACGTGCATACGCTGTCTCGACCTCATCTTTGCCATGTCTCTCGAGTTTGACTGGTTGTCTTACATTCGCATCATTTTTGACGAGGTGATCAATTCAAGACTGGAAGATTTCGCCATTGAAACCGCTCAGGGTGTATCCGGTCTCCTCAAGCTCTTCCATACCTGGGCTACTTCCCCGAAATCTTCATTCTATCTCACCAAATTCAACGATGCCTTGTTGACGAAGGTGGTGGATATCCTTGGTGTCGACTCCGCACGAGATGAAGTCAAGGCTTTCGTCATGGATGAGGTCTTGAATCCCTTGATCGGGCTGGCCACCGGAAAGACGCTTCAGGATAACGAGACCATGAGTGATATTCCTGCGGACGAGATTAGGTCCCAGGTTTTGGGTCCTTATATTGAGCATATTCTGTCTCACTTGGCTCAGCTCCTCAAACGTGGCCCCTCCCGTACTTTGCTCGTCTCGGGTGTTCAAACTCTTTCTCTCATCTCGCCCTGCGTCGAATCTTCGAAGGAGACATACAGCCTTATCAGCATCACTACCTATCTTCTCCGCCAACCCCCCGACAGAGTCTCCCCTAAAACGAAATCCGGCCTCCTGCGCTCCCTGGAGCATTTCCTACCCTTATTCAACACCCAGGAGGATCTTGAGCTCACCAAGGCCGTTTTTGAGGCTATCTCGTCCCTTTTCGATTACTTCCGGGACGATGCGAACAGAGAGGTTCTGTCCAGAGTCTTCACGGCGTTTGCCACCCACGACTCTGATCTTACCAAGGTTGCTAGTCTCTGTGAGGACTTGAACTCCATCTCTAGAAAGAAGCTGGAAGTCGACTACGAACGCCGACTGCAAGCGTTCAGAGAAATCAACGATAATTTGTGGGACAAGCTTGACGCTAAGCAGTGGCGCCCGCTGCTCTACAACGTGTTGTATCAAGTCAAAGACGAGGAAGAACTCGCAATCCGAACGAGTGCTGCTTTCGGCCTGAAGCGATTCATGGAGCGAGCCATTCTTCCCAATGACAAAGACGAAATGGAAGTGCTTGTAACGGATATCTTGTTCCCTGCTTTGCAGGCCGGTGTTCGCCAGAAGTCAGAGCTTATCCGCGCCGAATTTGTTGCTGCGCTCGGGTACTTCATCAAGCTGAACCCTGAACGCCCAACTGTGAAAGACATGCATGTCTTGCTTGTGGGTGACGATGAAGAAGCCTCGTTCTTCAACAATGTCCTGCACATCCAACAACATCGTCGTCTGCGTGCACTGCGCCGTTTGGCAGGCGAAGCAGCCAAGGGCAATCTCCAGGCGTCCAACATTAGCACCATCTTCATTCCTCTCAATGAACACTTTGTGTTTGACGAAGAGGTCGATGAGGCGGCTCACAACTTGACCGCCGAGGCTGTGAATACCATTGGCACTCTGGCAGAATCATTGGAGTGGCCCCAGTTCCGTGCCATCTTCCGGAGATATCGCGGCTACATGCAAAGCAAGTCGGAATTGGAGAAGAGCATTCTGAGACTTCTTGGTAAGATGTCTGACTCGTTGACCAACGCCATGAAACAGCATAAAGCTATCAAGGATGCTGCTCAGAGTGGGATGGACGGTCTTGAGACGTCAGAGCCGACCTCTACTCTCGCACGAACCATCCCTTCAGCCGCAAAGGTTGCGAACGAGCTTACTTCTAATTTCATCCCTCAGTTGACCACCTTCATTCACCACAAGGATGAAGCGCAGATGAGTCTACGTCTGCCAGCTGCGGTCACGACCATCAAGCTTTTGAAGTTGCTGCCTGAGGAAGATATGGCCATCCGTTTGCCCCCAGTTCTTTTGGATGTTTGCAGCATTCTTAAGAGTAAGGCTCAGGATTCACGAGACACTGCTAGAAAGACACTCAATGAGATTGCACTCCTGCTGGGTCCTAGTTACCTCAGATACATCCTGAAGGAACTGCGTACCACTTTGACCAAGGGCTATCAGCGTCACGTGCTTTCATTCACCGTTCACTCTATACTCGTCGGTACGACGGACGTGTTCAAACAGGGCGATCTGGACGACTGCCTGACAGAACTGGGCTCTATTATCATGGACGACACGTTTGGCGCTGTGGGCCAGGAGAAGGAGGCAGAAGAGTATGTGAGCAAGATGACGGAAGTCAAGAGCAGCAAGAGCTACGATTCGATGGAGCTCTTAGCAAAGAATGCTACTGTCCCCAACCTTGCCAGGCTCCTCCGACCTCTGCAATCGCTTCTTCTGGAGAAGCTCAACTCCAACATTATCAGGAAAGTCGACGAGCTACTGCGAAGAATTGGCGTGGGTCTTTTGAGGAACCCTGGAGTGGAAAGTCGCGACATCCTGATGTTTTGCTACGAAATCATCAAGGAGACGTACAAAGGACCCATTCAAGCGGAGAACAAGACTGTCAAATCGGCACAGGAAGAAAATCTGTTGATTGACCTCAAGTTCCACAAGCGAAGCGACAAGAAAGGAAGCACGACTTCTTATCTTTACAAGTTGACGCGCTTCTCTCTCGATGTCCTGCGTACTGTCTTGAACAAGTACAATTCCTTGCTCACGCCCGGAAACCTGGCTGGGTTCATTCCTGTCATCGGCGACTCACTGGTCCAGGCACATGAGGAAGTTAAGACTTCAGCTCTCCGCTTGTTGTCGACAATCATCAAGCTTCCGATTCCGGAAATTGATGCCAATCATCACGTGTATATCACAGAAGCTGTCAAGGTCGTCAAGGAGGCACCGAGCACCAATACGGAGGCTGCGCAAGCGTCCTTGAAACTGATTACGGCCATGCTACGAGAACGGAAGAGCACCAAAATCAAGGACGGTCACCTTGCCTATCTCCTCCAACGTCTCAACTCAGATATTGAGGAGCCTGACCGTCAAGGTATAGCCTTCAACTTCGTCCGTGCAGTGATGTCTCGCAAGTTTGTGGTGCCTGAAATGTATGAACTGGCTGATAGCATCGCTACCATGATGGTCACCAACCAGACCCGCGCCGCTCGTGATTTAGCACGGGGCACGTACGTCCACTTCTTGATTGAGTACCCGCAAGCCAAGAACAGATGGACCAAACAGCTTAGTTTCTTGGCCAAGAACCTGGAATATAAGCACCAAGAAGGGCGCCAATCAGTCATGGAGGCCATTCACTTGTTGCTGTCTAAGACGGGCGATGAGCTGGCTCAAGACATTGTCAGCACGTTCTTCCTGCCCATGGTCATTGTGATGTCGAATGACGATGCGCCTGAGTGCAGGGAGATGGCTGGTCACCTATTGGGCGAGTTGTATTCCAGGGCCGATAGGGAACAGATGAAGTCTATGCTTACGCCTCTACACTCGTGGCTAGAACAGACGGAAAACATGCTCTTGAACAGCACTGGCCTACAGGCCATGAGAATCTACTTCGAAGTCGAGGCGACAGAGAAAGACAAGGAGGCTCGATTCGTTCTGGATATCTTGCCGTCCATCATGCAGCCAGTCCTCAAAGCCGACGATAATGAGAATTGGCAGACCCTGTACTTCGCTCTCCAGCTTTTCTCGAAGCTCTGCAAGACCGTCCCCGCTCTGGCGCTTTCCCCGGAGCGTGCGCCGATCTGGGCTGCCGTCCGCGAGAGTCTCTTCTACACCCACGCCTGGGTCAAAACCTGCGCCTCGAATCTGGTTGGTACATGGTTCGCGGACCTCGCACGCTTCAACGCCACCAATGGCTACGCGTCAATCCCGCTGGCTGGTTCCACGGGGTTGTCCCTCGACAAAGATGCTATGTTGCAGCTGATCCGTGCCAGCTTGCGCTGTCTCCACACCCCGGCAGTCAGCGAGGAGCTTGCCATGCAATCCGTCCGCAATCTTATTTTCCTGGGTCGCTGCTGCGCTCAGAACGGGTTGGAGTTCACGCGGTCGGGTGGCAAGGACGCAGAGTCGGACGCTAGTGACAGCGAGCACGAAGATGACGAGGAGGAAGCCCAGCGGTCGTCCTCTTCCAAGTCCAAGCCTGCCATTCGGTATATCTTCGAGCAGACGTCTTCCATTCTCCGCCGAGAGCTCATCACCACACGGGCGGAGTCCTTGATTCCCAAGACCGCTGCCATCGGTCTTCTCGCTTCGCTGTGCCGCCATCTCGAGGTTGACCAGCTCAGCGGATCTCTCGCGGTCATCCTGCTCCCTCTCCAGCACATGACGGACAACACCATCCCGGCGCCCCGCTCCTCGGACGAGGCGTTCCGCGAGTCGTACAAATCCCTGGTGGCCAACTGCCACGAAGTGCTCGATATTCTGCAGAAGAAGCTCGGTACCACCGAGTTCGTGAAGCAGATGGGCGAAGTCCAGGATGCAATCAAGGAGCGACGTGAAGGCAGACGCGTTAAGCGACGCATCGAGGCGGTTGCCGAACCCGAGAGATACGAGAAGGACAAGAGGAGGAGGAACGACCGCAAGCGCGAGAAGCGCAAGGAACGAGGAGCCGAGCACCGCGGCAAGAGACGTGGTTGGTAAGAGGAGTGGGTGATTTGCTAAGCGAATTGTTTCCTTTTTCTCATCTTCTGGTGCTGTCATATAAAAAGTCCACGGCGTTGACGGTGAGGATAGGAGATTTCTTTTCTTTTTCGTTCTAGTACATTATTTTACATGATTTTCTTTTTTTTTGTTCACTTCCATCATTTTCAGAGTCCAGCCCTAAGTAAGTATGTAGAGCAGAGTGTCATTGCACCTGAACCTCCCCAAAATTCTATCCACAGAAGCAAGTAGCCCAACCCAAACACGTCCATGACAGACAAGGATCCAAAACGCCTCTAGCACCACGCTCCACGCTTTGCGGAATACCTCCAGCAGAATTTCACAACCCCCCACTTTTTCTTTTCCCCCTTCACTTGATCATACAGCACAACCTCAGCCCGGGAAAAAAAATCAAGCAATCCGACTCTGCGCCTGCCCAGCCTCCCCACCCTTGTTCTTTCCATCCGCAGCCTCCGCCTCCTTCCCCTCCCCATTCTCCCAGAACTCCATGTCCCCATTGGTGTACCCGCGCATCAGCTTGTCCCCCTGGCGCGCCAGGATATCCTCGAGGGTGCTCTTCTCGTCGAAGAAGATGTTCAGGTGGTCGGCGATGACGTGCCGGTTGCTGCAGGTGGGGCACTGGATCAGCACGGTGCCGCGGTGGTAGCCGTGCTTGGACATGCGGTGCGACGACCGCCCGCCGCACGGCTTGCAGGTGAAGGTGATCTGGTAGGCGGGCTCCTGCTCGCGGCGGAGGCGGTTCTGCTCCGCGTGCGCCGCGTCGGTGGCGGCGTCGCCGTGGCGGTCGGTGAGGGTGTTGGTGTTGCTTTCGTTGGTGCTGGTGTTGCTCTCCTCGGTGGTGGCGGTGGGATCTGGTTGGCTGGTGGTGGTGGTGGTGGTGGAGTTGTGGCGCGCGGAGAGGAGTGCGGTGGTTTTAGTTGTGGTTCTTGTGGTTGCGAGCGGGGAGGAAGGGGCGAGGTGGGTGAATGTGCGCGATGACGCTGATGCTGATATGGATGAAAATGAGGATGCGGGTGTGAGAAAAGTGGCGCCGGCGCTGGCGCTGGCGTTGGAGATGGTTGCTGCGCGGGGGAGGGAGCGCTGGGTGAGGGCGCGGAGGCCGTGGGAGAGGGATTGGATTGAGCGCATTGTTGTCTGTTTGGCGTTGGAAGGTATTGAGAGAGGGAGGTGGTGTAGATTCAGTGAAGGACAATCGAAGAAAGAAAAAAATAAGAGATTGGAGTGAATACCTCCAAAGGTTGTAGAAAGCGGGAGAATGACGGAGTTTCCGCGCCGCGGAGTTTACATCGGAGATAAGTTCTTCCAGGCCCCTCGGCGGGTCTCGGTTTCCCCTGCTCGTCACTTTACTTTACTTTACTTGACTTGACTTGACTTACTTTACTGTACAATAAGTTACTATCTATCCATTCTCATATCTCATTTCCTCGAGCTTGATTTGCTCGCAAATCACCTTGATGTGTTAACTTGCTTTGACTATACCCTTGTTCTTCTCCAGCGCTAACTTGGGCATCTGGATGATCCCCTCTCGCCACTCTCGCTAGCTACTTTTCTCCGTTCCCTAAGGCACTCACTCTATCTTCTCTCGGAATCTTATCCAAATCTTATCCACGCCGGAGCTTTGCCCCGCGCATGCCAACGCCCGAGTATACAACGTCAGTCAAATTGAGATGGCCATGAGAGCACGACAGCGGATTCGCGCTCCGCGAAGGGTGAGTTTACATGTTTTTGGTTAATATTGTGTTCCTCTTCTATCTCTGTCGTCTATTATCTCAAGTCAAGAGTAATCCCTCGCGCGGAACAAGTGGTCAGTAGTAGGTGGCGATCAACGACCGACTCCGCGGCCACAACCGTTGACCTCCAGCCATACCCACCCGACATCTTCGCTGACTGGAAGAAATATAGGGCCTCACAGCGAATAAAGGCGACGATTTTGAGACGAATTGGGCCGATCTCTCGACCTCGTTGAAGAAGATCCACACCAAAGATGCCTCCAACCTCTCTTTCGAGCAACTGTATCGCAACTCCTATAATATCGTCCTGATGATGCGCGGGGAGGACCTCTACGAACGAATCAAGAAATTGGAACAAGACTGGCTCGACGATGAGGTCAAGACCCGGGTGACGGCGGCAATCTCGTCCAGCCTGCTGCTCGCGAAAGAGCTTGCGGAGGTGCAAGATCAGGCCAATGAGCGTCGGGAGGCCGGGGAGAGGTTTCTGGCTGCCATGAGGGAGGCCTTCGAAGACCATCAGCTGTGCATGGGTATGATCACGGACGTGCTCATGTATATGGTATGTTCCAAACATCGAGATCGGACGGAAGGCTTGACTATTGGTAGCTGACCTTTCTGGGCTCTAGGATCGAGTCATGTCGACCGACCACCGCAAGCCGTCGATTTACGCGGCAGCCATGGCACTATTCCGAGACCATGTATTACGGTCGCCGATCCGATCGGATGCCAAGACGACGGTAGTGGATGTGCTCGAGTCGACCATTCTTTTTATGATCCAGCTCGAACGGTCCGGGCAGATCATCGATCGCCCATTGATCAGCCATTGCGTCACCATGCTGGAAGGACTATACGAGACAATCACCGAGGAGGAGTCGTCGAAGCTCTACCTGACCTTATTCGAGCCGGCGTTCCTGGACGCAAGCAAAAGGTTTTACCAGGCGGAAGGACGACGCTTGCTGGAGACGGGCGATGCCGCGACATTCTGTAAGGTTGCCACAGACCGCCTCGCCGAAGAGACGGAGCGGTGCATGTACACCCTCGCATCATCCACCGCGCCGAAGATCAAGGAGGTTCTGGATCGAGAACTGATCGAGAATAATATCGCGGAGGTGGTCAATCTGGAAGGCACGGGGGTCCGGCAGATGCTCGACAATGATCGCCTGGATAGCTTGCGGAGTATCTATGTGCTGAGCGCACGAGTCGATCCGAAGAAGACCCCTCTCACAACGGCGGTCCAGAAGCGCATCGTGGAAATGGGCAAGGAGATCAACGCTGGGGCAGTCGAATTGGCACAAACACCGGCAGAGCCTAAGAAACCGGCAGACAAGGGCGAAAAAGCAAAGAAGCCGGCCGAGAAGGAGAAACCGGTCAACCAGCAGACGGCTGCGGCTATCAAATGGGTGGACGACATTCTGGGTTTGAAGAAGAAGTTCGATAACATCTGGGAGGACTCGTTCCAATCGGACCATGTCATGCAGAGTGCGATTACTACCAGTTTCTCGGAATTCATCAACTCGGAATCGCGCAGCTCGGAGTACCTGTCTCTGTTCTTCGATGAGAATCTGAAGAAGGGCATCAAGGGGAAAACAGAAACAGAGGTTGACTCGTTGCTGGACAACGGCATCACGCTGCTTCGCTATGTCAAAGACAAAGACATGTTCGAGGCGTACTACAAGAAACATCTTTCTCGTCGTCTGCTCATGAAGCGCTCGGTAAGCATGGACGCGGAGCGGCAGATGATCTCGAAGATGAAATTGGAGGTTGGCAATCAGTTCACACAGCGCTTGGAAGCGATGTTCAAGGACATGACGATCTCGGAGGATCTGACGGCCAGCTACAAAGAGCACGCCAAGAAGACTGGTGACCCCAACACGAAGCGCATCGACCTGGACATCAACGTCCTCACTAGCACTATGTGGCCCATGGAGATCATGGCCAGTGCCACCCGTGATAACGTGCAACTGGGCTGCATTTACCCGAAGGAAGTAGAGAGCGTCAAACAGAGCTTCGAGCAGTATTACTTGGGCAAACACAGCGGGCGCAAGCTCTCATGGCAACCCACCATGGGCACTGCGGACATCCGTCTAGAGTTCCCGCGATCGAACGGCAAGATTCAAAGACACGAGCTCAACGTTTCCACATACGCCATGGTCATCTTGCTTTTGTTTAACGATGTGCCCACGGGCGAATTCTTGACCTACACCGATATCAAAGAGCGCACGCGGATTACCGACCATGACCTCATTCGCAACCTGCAAGCACTTGCGGTGGCGCAGAAGACCCGGGTCCTGCGCAAAGAGCCGATGAGCAGAGATGTCAAACCCACGGACAAGTTCTTCTTCAACAACGACTTCCAGAGCCCATTCTTGAAGGTCCGCATCGGCGTCGTGAGCGGCAGTGCCAACAAGGTCGAGAGTCAGGATCAGCGGAAGGAGACGGAGAAGAAGATGAGCGAAGAGCGTGGCGCCAGCATCGAGGCCGCTATTGTGCGGATCATGAAGTAAGTTTGCACTGCATCTCAAGCCATTATACCATTAAGGTGGTGCTAATCTTCTGGGCCAGGCAACGCAAATCCTTGACCCATTCCAAACTCATGACGGAAGTCCTGAGTCAGCTGTCTGCGCGGTTTGTGCCCGATGTCAACATGATCAAGAAGCGCATCGAGAGCTTGATTGACCGCGAGTATTTGGAGCGTGTTGAGGAAGATCCTCCCACGTACGGATACGTCGCATGATTGGAATGATCTTTGAAAGTTGGTTTTTTTTTTCTTCTTGTGGGTTTCATTTATCGCCATCGAAGCGAATTGAGAGCAGGGAACGAAATGGGTCTTGAGCTTAGCGTTGAGGGCGCAAAGGCGAACCATATAGACTTTTTTCTGTCTTGTTGCATTTCCACCGGCAGGGGGTTCTGCTTTTGTTTAATGCATTTTCTGGGTTTAGTTTGCAGGTTGTAGGCGTGTTGGGATTGAGCCTGAGCCTGAGCCTGAGCCTGAGCCTTAGGAATTGTTCGGTCCAAGAATGGTCAGACATATGAAATGAAGTCTGTCACTTGTGCAGTGCAGTATACACTGTCGTATGCAGTAACTGTAGAAGCATGTATGCAGTAGGTATCATCGGGAAACATAACAACAATCAACGAAAAGAAGCTCACAACGCCACCATGCACCATGCAACCATGCAACCATGCACATTGGTATACAACCATGTCCCGAGCCCGAACCTTGCCAACAGTCCAACATAACATACAAAGAAGCTCATCCTGGCCTCCTCCTTGGCCCCATCTCACAACCCCAACCTCAGAACCCAAGACTAAAGAACCTCCACCTCGCCCCTGCGCCACGCATCCCTGACCCCCTCCCACCTGACCGCCCAAACATCCCCCATCCGCATCGCCGTGCCGCCCACCACCTCCTCCTCGACCCCATCCCCCGGCGGCACCACCACCCGCACCTCCTCCACCAAACACCGCACAAACACCACCTCCCGCACCTCCGGCCCCTGCACCATACTCGTCCCGCCGGCATTATCATCCAACCGGCGCAGCTGCGGCGGAAACGACCCCAGGAACGCGTCCCCGTAGTGCTTGGCCAGGAGGTGCTGATGCGCGACCAGGAACCTCACCTCGGGGGCCGAGAGAGGCGGGTGCGGGGCGTCTTGGCCCACGGTGGGGATGGAGTCCTCGGGGCGGAGGTCGTGCTCTGCCGTTTGGGATTGGGTTTGTTGGGTGGTGGTAGGCGGCGAGATGCGGAGGAGGTAGTGCATGCTGTGTTTTGTGAGTTTGGAGAGGCGCTGTCGGAGGAGGCTGCGGAGGGTGTATTGGGTGCGGGAGAGGTCGGTTTGGAGGATCGAGAGGGTGAGGTTTATTGTGGTGTTGGTTGTGGTGGTGCTGGTGGTGCTGGTGCTGGGGAGGGGGTCGGCGGAGGTTGCGGCTAGGTCTTCGATTGTTTCGATCTGGAATTTGGGATTTGTCGTTAGATGGGGTTGTATACTGGATACAAGGCTGAGTCTGGTGGGGAAGGGGAAGGTGGGGGGAATAAGGGATTATGTGAAGGCAGAATAAATACCTGTCGTCGAACGCGGTCCATCATGCGGTCCATCAAGGGCCCCGGCCAGGGAAGCAGCTCCGAGACGCCGCGCTCGGCCACCCAGAACCGCGTCAGCAATTGGTGGTCCAGCGCCGTGGACTCCGGGGTGGTCGGGTCGTGGCGGTCCACGGAGGCGAGGATGTCGTCGATATCCATGGCGGTCGGTGCATTGACTCCCCGCTGAGGGTAGTTGGTGTCAAATGGTTGAGTCGTGACTAGTTATGGGCAGGAGCAGAAGAAAGAGAGGAGCGGAGCGGAGGCGGAATCTCCGAGTCAAAGAGATCACCGCCCCGCTTGTGGATGCCTCAGGCTTGAGTTCCACCCTAGTACTCAGGGATCTACTCTCTCTACTCTATCTACTCCGTACGACTCAAAAACCATGTAGAAGTAATTCGTTTCTTCATTCCAACAAAGGAAATCTGTCTCTAATCTTCACCTCCCCCCTCCATTAATGGCCGGGCCAATAGCCGACCAACGCTTCATCTATGTACAGCTGCACTGGCAGCCTCCGTCAATCACTTATTAGTCTGACTCCGAATGCTTCATCCAAACCAAGTCAGCGCCGTGTCGACGAGGCCGCCGCGCACAACAAAAATTATCGTCTGGCAAGACGAGCCGTACATCGATATATACTTCGTACGGCGAGCAGTGTGACACTCCCTCGGGATTGTACAGGGAACCGGGAGGATGATTAAAGACGGTAAAGGAAAATAGGAAAAAAGTCTTCGAAAAGGAAATTGCCGGACGGCGAGGTATCATCGGTGGAGGGAAGTCCCTCGGATGCAGGTAAGATTCATCCTGAGGGTGCCTCGTTCAAAACAAACATAGGAAAAGGTCCGAAGGGAGTGATCGGTGAGAGGGATGTCGGTTCAAATAAGTCGTGATTGGGAGGTATTCTGTGTCGTGTTCGAGGGTGAAATCATCACTGTAGGTATGACAACGAACCGAGTAAGAAAGGTCGAAGCTTGGGGTGTCATCAAAAGTGCCGAATCCAATTCTTTCTTCACCACATCATCCCAAGGAAATAGGAAAGAAACCGAGAATCAAAATGAGCGGAACGGGCTGGTCAGGTGAGACGCTGCCTTTCCCAAGGTCCAATGCGTCTCCCTCCAAAGCCCAAGGATGCAAACCCTTTTGCGCCAAAACTCGCAAATGCACACGTTCAGCCAATTGACCTGCACTGGCCATTTTTAGGAAACGCCGAAGGGCAGATGGAAAGAGCCAGGTGCAAAAGAAAGGCCATCAGGTGGTCGCAGCGTGGCTTGTTCCAAGTCGGTCATAACATCATTGCGTGGTGCACGGTGCACTGCACCAAGGTTTCGTAACTTTAGTAAGAGAGCATCCGACGGCCGGAGAGTCGACTGGATGCGGGGCTTTCGGCAAACGGGGATCCCAAAAATCGGTTTCGCTCCCCGGGGCCATTGCGACACCGTCCGGTCGGGCTGTCTTCCATTTGAGGCGAATTCTCCCCGAACGCGAAAGTCTGAGCCCGATTCAACTTGGACCGTTGCTTCACCTTGCCGAGGCCTCGCTCGCAAGCGAATTCGTGCTCCTTGGCAGACATCTCGACATAGTTCTGCGGGTAGCACAGCGAGCGGTGCTTGGAGAAGAAGGAACTGTAACCACCGTCCAGGACATACAGATCGGGGTAGGTGAGTTGCGGGTAGTGGTCCGCGTTGAAAGCGCGATCCTGGTGACGAATGTACTTGGCCATGATCGGGGCGCGATGGGCCGAGTATTCGCAGTGGAGGATCAAGGCCGTCCGCGGCTTGGGTGCGGTGAAGAGCTCGGCGGCCAGGTGGTCCTTGTCGTTGTAGTTGACAGCGCCATTGATATGGCCTCCCTCGTACTCATATTCAAAGCGGCAGTCAATAATCATCACGTTGTCAAAACGATCGTTGTATTTCCCATCCAAGAGCTCCACCAGGATGTTTTTGTCGATACGAGGCAATGTATCTGCCTGGTCCTCCGAAAAGACGTGAGGAAGCTGCAGGCTGGGGGATCCTTCAATGTCGATGATCGACGGGAGTGGTGCATTTGTAACTAAAGTTGCCTCTTTTTCGACGACTACATCCTCGGGATGCTCAAACATGCTCAACGAACGTCTACACTGCTTGCGTGGGCGCATCGTGGGGTGTGAATTCTTGCGGACTGACGCCGCGGACGGGGATCCATTTCCCCGCACGTGGCTGTTGCTACTGCCAAATGGTGGTTTGAGACGAGAGCTGCTCAACAGATTGCCGGTCGAGTGGTTCTTCAACGACGGACGTTCTCTTTGGGGTGACTCGCAAAACATATCCTCCAACGATGCAGATGCGCTAAGCGACGTCCTGTTTCCCCGGCTCTGAAACTTGAACGGCGGGGCTTGACTCTCTGGGGCCGGCTTGTTCATTCCTAGTTGGAAACTCTGTGCTTTGCTCCGTGCTAAACTCGGCCGTAGAAATGTTGGACGCTTTCTCCTACAGATAACCATGTGATTAGATCCACGCAGACCTGCAATGACTCCAGTCTTGGGCTGCCTCTCTTACTCTTGTAGACCGTCTTTCGAGTTCACCAGCGGTGACTCTTCCAACGGGCTCGGGGCGGCCGAGATCATAGGTGTATCCATCGAAGAATCTAGAGAGGGCGATTCCAGCTCGACTTCGTTGACCAGCCCGAATGCTGGCTTGTGCGGCAAGGGAGACATTTCCATAGCGTCCATCATGGGAGCTGGCGAGGAGGGAAGCGGTGGTGTGGTCATTGACTCTATCGAATCGAGAAAAAAAGAATTGTGAGCTGATAGCACATTTTTAACACATGGAGTGAGTATCACTTACCACACCGATTGGCTTTTCCCAGCAGGCTGGAGGAGAACAAAGACCGCCGGGGCGTCGCCAATTGCGGACTATTTTTGGTCAGCGAACCCTTTGTCCATGAACACACACACATGGCCTAACAAAGGCCAACGACATGCGACAAACCTTTGATCAATATGAAAATTCTGAGAGAGGTCGGCCGCAAGACTCGCAGTTGGTGATGAGCCCCGCACAGGTTTCACATTGAAGTAGTCCCCATGGGCCTTCTTCATGGACAGTTCCTTAAAATTGAAGGTGCTATGTGCCAATCCAGCCATGGGACTGAAGGACGCATAGGCTGTCGAGGCATCGGGACGAAAGCAATGGCCGAACATCACAGACGGCGGCTGCATTGCAGCCAACGGGGACGAGTGTTCCATTGTAGCCGGCCCAGGTTCCTTGTAGTTCTTCCTTGCCGATCATTCACACGCACGGATTGGGCCCAAGTCGATCACTAGTCGTCAGAACGCGGCGAGTGTCTCTCCCCCTTGTATGCAATGCACGGCAGATGCGGGGACAATGGGAGCCGATCTAGATTGACCACCACCGAGCTCCTCTTTTTGCTCCTTCGTTTCCCAACTGTCAAAGTGGGAGATCCAACCTCGGAAATCGTGGTACCGGCTTTTGTATGTTGTTTCAGCTAAGCAGCCTGTACCCAGACCTCTCTCGCAGACGGGGGACAAGCGTTTAGAGCGACATGGCTGGCTGACGGGAACTAGATCAAGGTGCTTTGAGATAGGATATAGGTTGAAACAGGAAGTAGGCCGGACGGGAGGAAGGGCTAAAGATACGACAGGATCAAGTCAGCAATAGTCGAGAGATCTCAGCCAGTACCAGGGAGGAGGTGGGTGGTGAATGAAGAGGGAGGGGGGGGATTGGCAGCATAGATATGGTACGCTAATGCACTGGGAGGGAAAGGTTACCGAAGGGACGAGGGCTGAAGACGGGATCGGACCTGAAGCATGAGAATGCAATGCAACGGAAGGGCAGAGGCTCTTATGAAGAAGAAACAGAGCTGTCTGGGGTCGAGAAGGAAGAGAAGGAGAAGAAGAAGAGAAGAAGAAAAAAGACAATGGAGAAAGTGAAGCTGAAGGGATGCCCTTGTTGCAATGGCAACGCAAAAGTGGGGAGGGATCTCCAGATACTCGAGAAAGAGCTTAAGCGACGATGGGTTTAGTGCTTCCTGGGCTGGGCTGGGCTGGGTTTTGGTTTGGGGCTTTTGGTTGTGTCAGAAACGACTACGGAGGAGTAGTTACAGTAAGTAACTGGTAGTACTGGTACCTAGTATAGCAGTTACATAGTAAGGCAGGTTTAGTACTAGTCACTAATCTAGGTAACTGACCTAGTAACTGACCTAGGTAGGTAGGTCACTAAGGCTACCTAGTAAATGGTCGAACCGGTTTGGGGGTCGAAGACCAATCCATGATTGAATAATGAATGAATGAATGAATGACCGCATAAGGCCTCAGGCCTTGGTTCGACAACGAGTAGTTCCTTAGACCCTTTCTTCCCTTTCTTCCAATCTATGCTTCCATCCTTTCGATTCTTCCCCTTCTTTCATGAAACTAGTTTTCTAGTCCTTCCAAGTTGCCCTGCTGTGGGGGGGGTAGGTAATTCCCTGTGCCTTAACTTATAGCAATTGACTTCATACTACTGACCTGACACCTGTAGGTACCAGTTCGGGGCAAAAAAGAAGATCCATCCAATAATCATTTCTGCAATATTTTAATTTTTGCATTTGACATTTTCTTTTCCCCTTTCGAATTTTCTGATGAGCAGAAAATTTCTCCATCTGGATCTGGATTTTGCCTACCGGTACGTACAGTTGCTGGGGAATTAGGTTATGTACTCGTACAGTACAGATGTATGTATAGTAAGTAAGAGAGTTCGGTAGGTACCCGTACAGTACTTGAGTAGTACTTATTCATACTCATCCTCGTTGCCGGGACTCCCTTGCCGCCATTATAAACGCTAGCCGCTGCTCAGCAACCCCCCGCCTATCAGCGTCCTTACACTCCCTATTTCGCTGGCCGATGCATGGATCGTGCCTGTCTCATCACCGAACAGTCGTCCAGAGAGGAAGAGGACAAGAGGGCCCATGTCGGAGACCACACCTCCAAAGACCATACAGAATTGAGGTGTCTCCATCTGTCCCCTCTTGTGGACTTTGGTGGACTTTTCTTTCCTTTTTCTTTCCGCCTTCTTTGCTTTCCATTACTAACACCACACTGGGTCGCCCCGGTGGTATTCTCAATTTTTTTTCTGACAGGTTTCATCTGTGTAACAGTCGCACTACAATTGCTGTAGAAACCGTTGTCCATGTTTGACATTTGCCCCAGTAGTACCAGCAGCACCAGCAGCACCAGCAGCGCTATCAGCACAGCACGGCACTAGAACCTAGAACCTGCGGTCTTCAATCCGACCGGACCAGTGACCAGCTGCCTCTTTCGGGGATCATCGGTCATCCTGTCGTCGCACTGGTATGGAGGAGGGTTCTATTCTACTTTTAGCTCGATTCGGTGGTGTCGCTTGCTCGCTTCATTCTCCTAGCATAGGCCATGTCAGTCTATCACTTTGAAGGAGGCTCTATATCTATCTCTATCCACTACTAAGGTTTTTCAGGACCCAGATACCTCGACGATACAGTTAGTCTACGGAGTTCTTATCCCTTAACTAGTCTCGAAACTCGATTTAGATGAGGGGGCAGAGGGCTTTCTCGTTGACGAACCCACCAGTAAGACGACATGTGGCCTGAGGATAATTTTTGCATTGGATCAATAAATTTTGTTCCCGTGTGTGCCGTTCGAATTTTTTATGGATTTTCTTTTTTAATTCCTATATACATCATTCTCATGAACCCCAAAAGAGAAGATCGAATCTAATAAAATTCTCCACCGGGGTCCACTCGGTCGGAAAAAAGAGCTTGTCCGGCCGGTATCTTCTCAGGAACGAGTGCCTTCGATTGGAAGCTGTGGAAAACCGAGAACGCTGTCATTCATACGTAAGGTGTCGACCGTTTTTTTTTTCTCTTGACTCTCTCTCTCTGTCTCTTCCTCTCCCTTTCCCTCTTCTTGGCTCTACAATCCAAGTTCAAGTTTCGAACAATTCCATTCATTCCTGCCGGTGGAACAGGGCAAAGGGCGAATGAAGCCTTGGGGAATCTTCTTCTTCTCCAGATTGCTGTCGATCCTGCATACCTACTTAGCCGGACTACTACGTGGTTGCTAACTTGCTACTCTTCGTTAGCTCATTACTGTCGTCCGGTTGGGAAGCCAGAGGAACGGGTTCTATTCCCCATTCGGAAGTTCCTGCCTCAGGAAGAACATCGGCCGAACATACCAGGCGCTTAATTCTTCGATGGCTGAACCTGAAGAATAGCTGGTAAGTTAGCTGGTAGCTTCTATTTACCATCATTTCTCTCCTTGAGTGAGACAGCAACCTTGTACCGATCGGCATTGTAGATTTACTTTGGCAAAATTCCTGTCTACCCTGTCCATCTTCCAGGCTCATTACCATCTGCCGATTATCCCCGTTATCTCGGTCATTCGATAATGGGAAGCCGCCCTTCAAGCGAGGTATGTACAGTACTGTCTATGTATTGGGCGAACCGCTTGATCTACCCTACGACTCAACCATCTACGGTACCTTTGCCCGGTTCCTGGTGCACAGTCGTTCGACGCTTTGATCAAGCTATTGGGCTAACAAAATTTTTCCAAGCGATGACGATGGCTGAGTGCCCAGTGGTCGGACGAAAAGTTGTCTAGAAATACCGTGCTCGCCCGCGCACTGTTCGCATGGCGGACCGTTCACCAGACACGCGCCCAAACCCTTATTTGTCTCAACTCTCGACATTCCCGCCGATCATGGCCAAGGGTGGTCTTTTCCCTTCGGCTGCGAGCATGCGCTGCTCTCGGATTCCCAGAATCAGTGGTTTAATCTATCGTCGGCTCGATTTCTCCAGTTGATCTTACAAATCTTATCATTATCGCAGATAATGGGCAAGAATCCCCGAGCCGGGTCAGGCCCCATCTCAGCTGAACGAACTTGAGCTGGTCTGACAGCCCAGCTCTAGCACGCTTGCCTGGTGTGGGGTTAGCCAATTTCCCCCAAGCTGATGCCGCAAGCTTGCCCATCGTACCCGAGGTTCTGACGACGTCACCGACAAGTCTATTTCTTCCTCGGCCGGACGGGTCACAACCATGAGAGTCTGGAAATCCGCCATCTTCACGGTTGTTTCGGCAGAGTGAGAGACCTTCTGTCCCATGGTCTCCGCTCTTCTGGGTCTACTTCTCCCGGAGTCAATAAATCGTGCATCAGATCGTCACGATGAGGGCACAGAGGCTAACAGCTGCCCCTCTCTCACCCCCCGTGGGCGCCGAAATCCGCAATTGCCCAATCAACCCCTCTCAGGATTGCGATTTGATTTTTAGCCTCGAATTGTTACTATTTACACCGCCACAAATGGTGAGATCGGTAAGCTCGTATGCACAGCGATCACACCTGGTGGCCCCCCTCCTGTGGCCTTCAGATCCTTTCCCACGCCCAAGCCCCTCATCTCTGAGACACCGGTCGGCCCCCGTGCAACTCCCTTCTCGCATCGGAGGGGTTAGCGTTGGAGCTCATGAGGGTCCAGAATTGAGCCATGTTCTAATCACCATCTCGGTGCTAGGTGGCCTAACCGGACTTGCGGCTCAAGGGTCGGCCTTATCCGCCAGCAGGAGCGCTAGCCCCCAATAATGACTATTATCTTATGCCTCGCGTCGCGACACTGCGGTGCGAGTGGTAGGTGTCGGCGGATACGCCAGCCCGTCAATCCGTAAGCTTCCGAGCTCTTGTCGAAAGGTCAGCTCGGCGCCGTGCGGCTGAGTCGTCGATTCGCCGACCAGCCGCGTTGGACATTGCTATGGGCGGAAATTCGCGCGACGGTGAGCCGTCCTGGCAAACTAGTGCTCATACCTCGGATGGGTTGGTGGGGTCGCTGACAAGGATGGCTGACTCGAGACGCTGTGCCGCAGTGTCATGGCCATGTGCGCGTTGTTAGCAGGGTTAGCCGGGTTAGCAGGCAGTTATCTGTCGGGCAGGCCGCCCAGACACCCTGGAGGACCGAGCACCAGCATCGGGCGCACTCAAAAAGCACCACAGAACGTTAAACTACTAGCTCATTCAGCCAGCCAGCCAGTGAGCAGCCTTGGCGGGTCAGCAGGAATTTGGATTGTATGAAGGAAGCGCTGGTGCGGGGGGAGCATTCTGTTCTAGATGGAGACCGATCTGCTCACTGATTGGACCAGCAGTGCAGCCCTAGTGCTCGTGCTCCAGCGTGACTGTCTGCAACTTTATTTAGCTACGGCGCGGAGCGAGTGAGCGAGTGAGTGAGTGAGTGATGTCGTCGATGGTCTTGCAGTGACCAGTGACGGACTGGTGTGCTCCCAACCGGTTTCGCCAGTCGTGATGTCAGTGAGGGGGAGAAAGTCAGTTCTGTCCTTCACCTGCAGGAGTGGTCGATTGCTTTATCCCCGCCAATGCCAATGTACAATGTATGTATGTGTTGGCTGGCCTCAGGAAGTCAGTCGGTCTACGATCCGTATGTATAGCTGCCCCATTGTTTATCCTTCCGGTTCCGCGTTTCGCGTGTTTTGCAATGTAAACATAAACATCGAAGGGGTACAATGAGCCATGGTACTCTGGAAGTACCCCGACAACTGACTGACACTTGACAGTCAGTGAGTGAGTGTCAGTGAGTGACGCGACCGGCGAAGGCCGTCCCGTGACTGTTGCCTGAGGTTTCCACTGCTCGCGAGGGATGCTTGGTATGACATCACATTTCCCCAGCCTCCCTTCTTTCCTCTGCTTGTCCCCCTCCAGTCAGTCCAGTTATCCCTCTCTCCCTCTCTTCCTCTCTCTCCCTCTTCTCCTTCGTCCTCACCTTGCTTGCCTTGCTTGTTATCTTTTCCTTGCCGTCCCCATGACATAATACGGCGTACGGTAATAACGACCCCGACGCGTCTATTCCCCACCTTCTCCTATGAAGCTTAATCTATCTCTCGCTTCCACTCCCAGATGACGATATAGCGTACCTACCTTGAAAGTATCCAATCTTGCGATTCCATCTCCGATACGATCGTGGGAGCGGTTGGAGCGATTGATCTGCAAAACAATTCAAGACAGAACAAAACAAAACAAAACAACAATACCGTTCTCTTTAATCAGTCAATCAACAACGGTGACGTACTGTAGTCGCGTCTCTACGGAGTCCAGACTTGTCTGCTTCATTTCTCCGGGCCACTTCTCGGCCGTGGACCACACGCGTGCCCCAAGACCTCATCCCACCATGCCCACCTTTTTTAACCGGCTTAGAGTTTGCCACCGGAGCCCGATTCCTCTTCTAGTGCCCGGGCTAAAATGTCCATATGGGTCACACCCAGTGCCGGTTTTACCGTAGGGCCAGAAAAGCCGCCAGATGTTGGGGGCAAGGCTCCATCACGCTACATACACCCTCACTTCTTCTGCTTGGACAGGCTCCAAAGGTGTCGCTTACCCTAAAGGGGAAACCCCCTTCCATGCACAGCGGAAGACTAAGGAAAGCTTATGTGAACAAGAGACGATTATGCAGGTATGCACCTCTCCATCCCTTCTATCCCTTGTTTAGAGATCTACTGGTAAAACGCTTCTGGATGTTGGCACCACGAGTGTGGGCATGCACAGATCTCTCTCATGTCTGATTTCTTGCTCCCGGCGATGCAAGTTAATCAAGGTTCCTACTACCGAACAATCAATTGAACTCAATCTGATAGGGAGTTATCGAAGAAGCTTCAACGTTCAATAGCATTGCCACTATTGGGTCTGCAGGGACCTCTCCCCCTGCCCCCCCTTTCTTGCAACCCTCGTGGGACCCCCCAACTTGCTGCTCCTCGCAATAATCAAGCTAAAACAATCTATATGCAAGTCTATCTATCTCTCACTGCCCCTCTTCCCCTCCCCTCTGGTCCACTTTCCATGGTTTTCGACTATTGGTTCAAGATCTTCGCTGCACCCCATGTCGTGGGGAGAGAGGGGTGGAAGAGGGGAGATACAGATCGGTAGATCGATCAAGATAATCGCCAACGCCACCCGCAAGTCTATTCCCTGTGCTGGCTCACTTCAGTGCAAGCCAACCGATATCGAGGAATGGACAATCCCTCTTTCTCCCGAAAGAAAAACTCCGCAAGGGCACGTACCCACCGTATCAATCAATGCACCGCATCTACCCCTTCTTTCCCTTTTGTCATACAATACCCCTGCAACAATTTTCAAGATAGGGTCTGAAACCCTAAGCTGTAATTATCAATATAACCTGCATGAAATCCTCCGCAGTAAGCCCCAGGTTTCCCACCTGCAGCTTGGGCAGGGGGATGATGCCAGGCATACATCGACTTAAACATGCATGTAAGTGCTGCAGGTAAGCGTAACCCTCCAGTCGGTTCCTTGCTTGTATTTGCCTGGTGCTGGCATGTATTCAGCGCGGAGATGCACATACTTGGGACCGTCTGTTTATATGCATGTACTGTACAGTATACTTCCATGGTAGTCGAGCGAGGCAAGCATTCAGTCCATCGACTCAGAATGAACAGAACGTCGCTGCTGTCTCCACGGTAGAGTATACACAAGAAGGGGCCAGATACCCCTCTCACTATCGTCGAATAGGGCTTATTATTGTAGGTGATGAGATGATATTTCGCGAGCTCGAACACCCCCCATATTTCGAAAGTGCGGGTTGGCAATTGACGATATACACTATGACTTAATTAGATAAGATAGTATTTAGAACCGTGACAATGTGACCCATAGTCTGAAACTGTCGCCCATGAAATGCACAAGTACTCAAACCGCATCAATCCCGACCTACAACCTAGGTAGTATCCCCAAGAACAGCCAGCCCGGAAGCATGCATATGCATGTAATGCAATCAAAGCGATAGCTTCCCAAACCAATATAGTCCCAAGTAACTAGCTATCATACTAACCGTCCGGAAATCCAACACACCTCCTACGTCGTAATCTCCTATCACATTCCAGAAGACCGACCCGTCGTCAGCCCAAGAATGCCCAACCCAGCCAACCGCGCAGCCTCAACGGTATTGTACAGTCAGTCAGTCAGTACGTTCGTAGTCCCTCATCTCGCCTACTGGGTCCTTCCATTCCCCATCTACCTGCATAGTGCAGAATAGCGAAGGAAGCAATCGATCCTCGCATTCCATTCCCCCCTTCCCTGGACCAAGTCCCGAGCAAGCCATTGCCGGCGCTGCCTGTGCCTGTACCTGTACCTGTGCCTGTGCCTGTGCTGTACCTGCGCCTGTGCTATGCCATACCCCCACGCATCCCCCCCTCCCTCCCTTGACTTTGCCTGCTGCCTTCGGATAGGCCAGGCTCGCACTTCACAAACCCCTGCCCTGCACTGGCTGAGTGGTCCCGCGTGGGCGTTCCGTCATCCAACATTCTTGGGGTCAGGAACAGGGTTCCGTGTGTCGATCTGGGACCTTTTACCGAAAAGAGAGATGGGGTGTTTTCGGTCCCTGGGTGGATGTGGGTGGTAGGTCAGGGGAGGTTTTATTTGGTATTAGTTGTAGGGTGGGTGTATTCTGTATTCCGTGGTGCCGTGATAAGGTAGGTGGATTCTTGGAACCTGGAGGTTCGCGTAAGCGGGACTCGGATTTTGGGGTTGGTTCCAGGGTGGATGTTGGGTCGAGGGGAGGGAGGTGTGGATTTGGGCTGGGATTTGGTTGGGGAGGGTTGGTTGGGTCGGTATGTGCTGGACTGTACACAGATATAGCGGGTTCGTTTGGGTGGGAGGGATTTGGTGGTGGTGGTGGTGGTGAGGGACTGGGTTTTGCTTATAGAGGTTGACTCGGTTTTTGTGTTCTTTCCAAGGAGAGTGGGTGAGTGGTGACTTGGAAGAGATTGGTACTACTGTGTATACATGGATTGCATGTTGTGGTTTTACTTAGCGGGCATGTTGCTTGGTATACTGTTGTCATGACAGTTCGAGATCGATGTATAACCACAGCGCAACTCATTTCTTGGTTGGTTGGGATATGGGGTTGGATCACTGATCCTCATGTACTGTAGCTTATGATATAAGTGATTACTACCCACACAAAGAGCTGTGAAACTGGTCCTGGTTACGACACTTTCTGCCGGATCGCGCGGGATAGATATACACTACCAAGTGCCTGTTTGGCCTGCTGCACAACTCTTTCGTATGCGGTTTATGTTTCCTTCCTCTCGCCAGCCCAGAAACCGCCGTGGCCTCGTTCGCCAACTGTCTTTCAGTCCCCCTTGATAACCAGGATGCTGGTTTTAGATGTGTCTTGGCCTAGGGCATGGACTGAGTAGCTAGCTGGTAGGGTGGCTTCGGCCCTCGGAGGGGACGTGGTTTGTTCTCTCGGGGTGAGGATGTGCATATGCACTACATGACTCGGCAAGTACAGGGTTCTTATAGTCGGTGTTTTTGTTCGGGCCCTGGTTACATGCAACCATCGCTGCATGCCCATCGTGCTTCATGTTTTCTGCTCAGCATAATGTTGCGACGCGCTGTTCGTCAAACCACTCCCGTTGGAGGTGATTTGATAAATGAAGAGGACGATGCCGTCTTCGCACATTAGATGCAGATGTATGTGACTGACTATATCAGAGAATATGGACTAGTGGTTACGCGCGTGGTCGCGGTAGTAGACAAGTCAAAGTATGCACCACGATGAAAGATATATAGGATTCGATGGCGGTCTTGAAGAAGTATGAGTCAGTGATGAACCGCTATTGCATATACCGCACCAACAACAAAGGGATTCACAAAATGAAGGGGAAGCTAGATGAACAATCCCCAGAATCCATCTATCACGCCGCTGTGTCGACCTCAAACAAGAACGAGATATCCAGGGAGTCTGCGCCCCAATCGACCACACCGCACCGAATCTGCTTCTTCTGCTTCCACCGAGTGGTGTTCCCCATGCAAACATCACATCGTTCATGGTCCGCCGCTCCGAGGTGAGCAAAGTAATCCAGCGCCGCCTCGTTCTTGCTACAGACCGCATAATGCGCGGGCGGATTGCCTGCGTCATCCAGAAGCCATGGGTTCGCCCCAGCTTCTACCAGCAGCCGTATGCATCGGAAGTTCTCTCCGCGTGCGGCCCAGTGTAGCGCTGTCATCGCCTCCGAGTTGCCAGCGTTGACGTCGAATGATCCCTGCGACAACCCTAGTGCTGTGGCTCCATCTGCTGATGCTCCCACCGTGTCGTCAAGAACGGGTCTCGACTCCCCTCTCATAAGAGCTAAAAGCAGTTCCACTATGTCGGCAGCGCCTGTTCTAGCTGCGAAGTGTAGATAACCATTCCCCTCATTGTTGAGTTTGTGCAGAGCATTGCTGGCATGGATCATCTTCTGGATGATTTCGATATACTCTCCCCGGTTGCTGCAATCATTCACCAGACGCAGCATGATATGAATCGGCGTATCGCCGCTTCCGTGCTCTGCGATGTCGACGTCTGCGCCCGCATTGACCAAAGATAGGATTAGTTTATGAAACCTACGATGCATATATGCCCCACTGGATGCGACGTGGAGGATTGTGCGCTCCGAGTCAAAGGGGGCGGATAGATTCACCGCAGCTCTGCCGGTGCTGACCAGTTCTATGATCCGAGTGACTGCTTGCCATCCGAACTCGGTCGAGAGCCGCGACCAGAGTGAATCCAGGGACAGTCGGGGCTGCAATCGATGCCCCGGCCAGAACGCCGGGCCTCGACGGAGAAGCAATTGAAACACGTCCTCCGGGCCGTCTAGTGCTCGATCGATGGCACTTTTGCCATAGACATCCACGGCCAGAAGATCGCTATCGGAGTCGAGAAGTAGCTCAATCAACGATACACACCCGCAGGCAACGGCGTTGTGGAAAGGAGTGACGCCCCGGAGATTAGGGGCGAGGATGTCACTGCGCGATTCTGCCCCCGCCTCTAAGAGAAGCTTCACGACTTCCGTATGCCCTTGTTTACAAGCCAGGTTCAACGCTGTATCGCCGGTGGAGGTCCTCCCGAAAGGGTCGGCATGGTGAGCAAGCAAGTACTCCACGATGGGGATGTATCCCTGCCAAGAGGCTAAGTGCAACACGGTATAGCCCTGCGCGCCGGGCGTGTTGATGTCGCCCTTAGCGCTGGTGATACTAGAGATGAAAATCCTTGAAAAGTCCGTCAGGCCGTGAATGACGACCATTTCAAATGGAGACGCCCCATCAGCGTGACTTGTGAAAACGTCCGCACCCAGCTTGAGCAAGTGCGCCGTTACATCTAGATGACCCCCACGGACCGCCATATGCAATGGTGTCTGACAGTATCGATCGACTGCGTTGATATCTGCCCCAAGGTCTGATAAAGCTTGAACGACATCAAGGTGGCCCTGATACGCCGCTAGATGCAGGGGAATGACTCCATCCTCGTTCTTTGCGTTGACGTCCGCCCCTTGGCGAATAATGATATCAAGCAGGTGCAAATTACCTGCTCCTGCAAAGTGGTGTACCAGCGTAGAGCAATCTTGGCCCAGAAAAGTATGGGTTGGGACTCGAGTAAAGTAATCAACTGCATACTGCGATGTCCAGGTCTTGATGCTACTCCAGGAAGAGCGGTAGGTGACAGGCCTGGCACAATAGAGTTGGATCCATTGGGTATAAAGCTGCGGGTACAACAGCAGTGCAAACCTCTTTGCGGAGCTGGTCAACGCGGCGAGAGATTTGGGGCCGAGGAAATTCCCCAGATACAAAATAAGCTCGGGAGGAAGACTGTCCAGACTCATACTGACCGCTGAAAGGAGAGGAAAGGTCGGGAAGGAAGAGCTCCCTGCTAAACTTATAAGTGAAGGGGGCTGGCTTCATGGAATGTCCCCTAATGCACTCTTGCAGGCTTGCTGCTGGTCCCCTTGCGCATGAAAGACCCCCTGGTGGATTATCATTGGGCTAGTCTGCAGTGAAGGAGATGAATACGACCATATGGCATATCGTGCTTCCACCGAGACCAAGGAAAGGATTGATGCGCATGGAAGAGAAGCCATTTTTAGAGGGTCACATGGCGTTGATGCTTCAACAAGCTTCGTGACGGTAAGCTTCCGGTAGAGGCGTCCCTTGAAATCATGTGACCATTCTATGTACCGATGCTCTCACATATTT